ATCATATTTTTTTTTAATGTTTTACGATGTTTTTTTTTATTTAGTTAAAACACAAACCACTTGCTCAGTTTTTTGGTTACATTGAGATACAAAATAAGTAATAGTGTGGTGTTTCATTGTTATTTTTTCTATTACAGATAAAATTATTCATCTCTAATAATAACAGTTATTTTCTCTTAATTCAGCGATGTTTTTCCTCCTGTTTAAAGCATGAGAATGCGACAGGGGCTGAGCGAGGGCGGGAGGAGAGTGAAACTGAAAGCAAATCAATGGGCGCCAGTTGGAAGGTTGGGACGCAGGCTTCATTTTTTCGCAGCATTTCCGCAAATGTTTTTCGATTACTGGCTGAGGGGAATTGAAATTCCCCACACATGCTTCCCGTAAATTGGATAAATAAATGTTAAAATGATGTGCTTTGGTTATTTTGCTCAAACAAAGAGAAGAACTTAAATGAAATATTTTTAATTTTCTTAGCGATTATAATGTTTACGGTTCACACAAATCGCTTTTAAGAGCCTGAAACCTAGGCCTAAAAATAAAAAAGCGCATTTCTGTGGCGCTTTGATGGCCAAATAATTAAGAGGTTTTGATTATAATTAACTCGTCCATTACTAGCTGCTGACTGTTAACATGAACCCGCTTCCAAATTCCACCATCGACAGTAGGACGGGGCATGTTTTCAAGACTATCTGCCAACATTGAGCAATCTTGCAACTCGCAACCTGCTCGCTGACAACTATTGTCTGTTCATTTTCATAATACCTTTACTAAAGACCAGCGTTTTGATTGACTTATGAATGAATCCTGCATTTATATTCCCGTATCGTGCGCACTAATCATGAAGTTAGAAAAAATATTTTTTGGAGTGGAGTGGAGTGGAGTTAGGAGCATAACAGAATAATGCAAATGTACATGTAATGTGTACTCTATGTCATTAATATTATATTAATATGGCATCTTTACAGAAAGATTTATAGCCACGCGAAGTAGGAGACCTATCGCTATTATGAATAAAATAACTAACCTATCTTCAAAGCAAAAAGCTTCTAGAATCTGACAGGACGAGGGAACATCACGTTTATATAAGTCTATTTTTATTTTGGAATAGTGTCTCCAAAGCTGTGCGATGTGCGATGTGCGAGCCGCATCGCTTACGTATGCATTGGACACGGCGACACTGTATCACTATGTATTTCTGCAACAAATACACATGGAGACGCGCGGATCGCGTCGTTCCACTTATTGTGAAATATTTTCTTCGTAAATAATATTTTATATCCGGCGATTTAGCTTCGCGCTCGTGACCGAGTTCGGAGAACGGGGTGTCTGAAAACTCGGACCGGCGCATTACCTTATTGATAGTATGAAATAGAATAGCCAGAATAGCCTTTGCAAATTGCAACAATCTTACAAAATATCAAATAATAATAATAATCATTTGATCCCGCGATCTCGTCCTTATTTATGTATATCAATACGTATAAAATTATGTAAAATAACATAGAACGATTTTTTGCAACATAACAGTATTTAAGTCGATAAATAGACATTTTCTAAGGTCTAGCTTCAGAAGAATATGAAATAAAATTTCATTAGCTCTCGCTCGAATACAGAAGTTTCAGAAAACTTGTTCAAAAGTTAATTTAACGATGCAAGTTTTGTTGGAGTTTCGTTTACCGCAGAGTTTCAAGTTTGTGTACTTTAAGCATAAGAAATGTAAGGTCTCTTGCCTGTGAACAATATATATTTACAAGTATATATCACGATGGTTTCAGCAAAAAGATGTGACGTGAATACTCAGGTGCGGTATCCTCGATGTTGTGTTTCACATTATGTATTGTTTATAACAACAATTGTTATAGGTACGTATTCATTGTATCTTGTACAGACCAATCGTGTAATTTAAAAAGTTACAAAGAGAAAGCAACTAAAAGTGATGTGACACGCGCATTTGTTCTAAGATATCTTTGTCTGAGACGAACTTTTAAACAGATCAAAGCTTACATAATAAAATTCGTGAGTTGTTAACAAATGAGATAAGATAACAAACTTTCGCACAGGAAATGACAACGAGCTCTTCACCTAAGTTGAGGAGACAAGTCGCCATTGTGAACGGTCCGCAGGTAACATACTCTAATTCATTATTTATTATCCCGATTGACACAGATCACGTCATTCTTTACTGATTTAAAAAAAACAGTTGCTTTCTGTATGAAAGAGTTTCAAGTAATGTGAGGCCATTCCTGTATTGCATATCTACTTACTAATCACTCGCCATTTTGTGCGTAATTTTCTGTGCCCTACGTCTTATTTCGCAAATTTTTTACATGTTTCGACAGAACTGCGATAACAGTTCTATCTGCATCCGGTCCAATAAGTTTGAGGGTCTGATTACTTAGTACGTTAATGAAATCAAATAACTTTATTAATTTCCGCTTGGGCAGGGGACTTTAGTGTTATTGAGGTAGAAGAATAGTGTCTCATTTCGCTTCATCTGATTTGGTCTTACATCTTTGTATAAAGGAAGTGAAACATCAGAGACAATTGTATTGCACAAACTCTCAAGAGGACTTTTGTTAAACGAGATAAATGACTTTCTTTCAAAGTATATTTAACTCGCAAAACTTTCGACACCGGCTTCTTTGAGCTCGCATCTGTCAGTGGCGATAAAAAGTGAACAAAAGGCGCTATCCTTCATTTGAATTTACTCTATGAAAAGTCAATTAAAGTTATAATACGATTTTCTAATATGTCATGATAACTATGAGTATTATAGCACAAGTTGATAGATTTTCCTAACTCGCCAATTGTGTCGGTGTCCGGTGTGGCTACGGCTACGGGCTCAGTCTGCTACGGAAGATGCAACGCTAGCAAGCAGTTTGTCAGATGCGAGGCGAGGTGCTTACCCCGCCAAGGTCGGATCGGATATGCTTAGACATTTCCGCACGTTAAAAAAAATGGTATAACTACGTGTTTGTTAATTTAATTCTTTAAACAACTTGAATAGAGCCTCGGGACTAGGAAACATCGTTCGAGGAAGCGTCGAACATCTTTATTTATATTGGAAGACAAAAAAATGTGGTGAGTAACAAAGCTCGCATTGTCTCGCAGGCGTCGGATTCCGACTCACTCTCGATTGTAAAAGAATAATAAAGGCCCGAGTTTTTCCCGAGCCTTTTGTATTTGAAGTTCCTTAGAGAGTTATCGATAAGCCGAGACGACGTCAGATAAATTGCCGTTCTCTTAGGATTAAACGGAGACCAACTAAACGTAATATAAAAATAAAACAAGGCAACAAAATTTAGCGAATGATACTCGGTCTCTAGGCGCCGGAAACTCCGACGCATATTTTAGAAAATATGCATTAAAATTGTGAATCCAAATTCATGTACCTGCAATTATTAAGGAAAAAATATGTGCATCATCCTACCGCGTATACATATGTATACTGAGCACGTGGCTGCTTCCGTGGCGCACGTTGCAGCTCGGGCTTTGTGCACCTCGCTCATTACACTACTTGTTAAACTTCATTTGAATTTTCCTGGCAAAAGTTATTTCTTCACTTGATACACCATTAAGTGCACTTAGCGACAGCGACAAAGGCAGACACTAACTATGCACTTTCTATATTTACCTTTTGTGTAAAGGAAGGTGTGGGCTAAGGGGTGAGTGCAGCCCCGCTTCAACTAGACGAGATGGCAGAGATGGCGCGCTTGCATTGCCATTACATTACACTCCCATGTACTACCTGAGCCTGAACGCGTCTGCTGATAACTTGCACGACAACAACGTCGAATTTTATAATTTAATTATTAACTTTTTAAATAACTTTAACATATTCTCCCTTACAAAATTTAGTTATTTTTGCACCTTTGCATTTTCATAACATCGCATTATCAGTAACAGACAAATTGCTGGTAAATTAACAGTAGGCGATAGTCGATGTCTCTAAACAAACTATTATCTACAATACGCTCCCATCCACGGTTTTAGCCTACCACCACCCATGGCCCCATCGACCCTCGGGTCATACAGGACAGGCCAAATCGCGAGAAGGGCTGCCAGATTGCTTCGGGCTTGATTCTTCAACCATGGAAACAAAAAATATGTTTTATCTTTCTATTTTTGATCGTAACAGGTAGCGCCATCTATTAGGTGCATTTCAAAACACGATATATTTTTGTGTCCTGTATGACTCATAGCCATTTTTAAAGCCCACATTAACACACGCTGTTTTGTGCTGATGTAATATCTTAAGTACAATATAAAAATTGCAGTTTGGATTAATACTAACGACCTATCTTATCGTTGCTATGTGTGTAAATAAAGGTAATATTTCAGCCCGAACTCGAGTGAGTCAACTGATAAATGAACTAATCGCGGATGATGAAATTAAAATACGTCTTTAAATATTAAATAATTTATTTGAAAACAAACTTCCTAGCTCCATGTATACATATAATCTTAGGTATATAATACACATAGTGACACTTCATTGTAAACTTTCTCTATTCATTTATATTTACATCGTATCTTAGTATTTCTATACAAATTATTCTCCTTCCAACATATATAATAATATAATACATTTGTTTTATGTCAATTGCATAAGTAAAATAGAATTAAACTTAAAAGGGTTATTTTTATTAACTAATATTTTGAACACAAAATCAGCGACAGACAGATCATGGAAACATCCAGACGTAATGTGGTCATTGCGGCCGCGCGGGCCACTTGCAGTGTGGAGCACGCCGCGCCGCGCGCCTCGCACACTACGAGTACACACTGCACCTTGCACGATGCACCAACCATGCACTTACAAATAACCGATTTATTTCAGTTCTCCTCTAGTTATTACAAATCTTGTATAATAACTAAATGTCTTAAACATTTTTCAATCAGACGGTATTATAATTTATGTTACTTAGCGTACATATTTTGTTTTATTCTACCCAAAGATTTGATTTGATTGGAATTGTGTAAAAAATGAGTAATGTAACATTAGCTCGTTATGGGAATAATATTAATTTATGTACATTTTCTTGCTAACTATTGAATCGTGTTTGCGGACTGATAGCTCGTTACTTCATTTATGGAAACTTACATTTATTCATTACGCTGTTTGTATTTTTTGAGTTTAAATGTCACATTACTTTTATTTATACGGTAGTAAGAAATCACATTGATTAAGTTATTTTGCCTTAATCTACAATTTTGTGAAATGACATCATTTAAATTTATATACGACAATTAGTAAATGAAATGTAGTAAATAAATGACAATTAATGATAATACAGTTTAAAGAAACGCTTCAATTGCGTTTTATTTATAATTTTACATGACTTTATCAATATCTAAAACTTAATCGAAAACAACAATTCCGCTGATCCCTGGCAGTCTCCTAATCACATTGTACTATCGCCGAGTACCACACGACTTTGTCTGACATTTTTTTATAACTAAATCTGTTTACAACACAAAACATTCAACATTCATTATAAGTATTTTATAGCATCAAGAAAAATTAAAAATTGTGTGTATTTTTTAAATTTATACATGCATAGATACATAATCTATAGATAAAGTATTTCATAACAGTTTGACGACCAATGGATAGTTGATTTTTGAAATACCATTTTGTATTGTAAATGAAACCTTTCAGGCCTCATTTTTGTGACTCGGGTATGTAAAGAGTATGAATCTATGCAAATACATATAGTAATTAATGAACCATCTTCGATGAAACGTAACACAAAGTTGTTATTGTTTATAGAAGTGAACAAGACACTTGCACGAGTCGCAGAATTTACAAGAACTTAGTCTAACACAGTGTACATAAGAATTCAACTAAATATTCAATATTTCGTAATTTCTTAAAAACAACGGCAACATTCTTATAAATAATAGTAAAACACTGAGGACGTACCTATTCAATTATGTATTTGAAAGATTGCTATTTATTAACAAATTCTAAGTAGTTAAATAAAAAAATAAAACGTCCCCGTCCTCTCGTGTTTGACTATTAAAACATTTAATTATAAGACAACAATTCAAAATATTAAATAGCCCTTTACTTTATTTCAGATGTCAATCACAGTTTTTGTGTAACAAATACTGAAAAAGAACTTAATCTCATTACGTGTACAATTGCCTTCTCAATACATTATTGTGAATCTTACCACAACACAAGTATTGCTGACTCAAGACAAACACATCGACAGACTTAACTTGTTATTAGTGCTTATAGTTTAACTATGACTTATATCGCAGCCGCCGCGGTCGCTGTCGGCGATGCGGCTTTCTTCTTTTAACAATGTTTAATTTACTTACATTAATTATTAACTTAATTACATTATTCCCTCCCTCAGTATATATTTACAGTCGCCGCGAGCAACGAATGACATTATTTATACATAAGTAGGACCCGAGACGTTCCTAAGAATTACCGTCCGTATTGCCGGACAACAAAGTTCAAATTGTCACCGAGCAGTAGTATCAGGAACTTCACCTAGATAATACAAGTTGCAAGATAACGTTAAATAAAATTTGTAGGCGTTTAAATCAATATTACAGTTTTTGCCATAATTTTATGATTTTTGAAATGTTTTACAATGTTACAAATCAAATGTGCTTATAAAAAAGTAGCGTTGTAGCTACTCGTCAAATCCATCATCGTTCGAGAAGCTCGGGTCATTGGCTACGTTGTCGTCGAACGCTACCCACTAGTGATCGTTTCATAAAAACCTTACGACTATTGTAAAATCTCTATTCGAAATTATTAAGGTACTTATAACTTAGAATTAAATAAGTTTTCGTTTCTAGTAACTTAGTTACGAGACGATAACGTTGAAAGGGGCGGTGCGGAGCGGTGCGGGGCGGGCGCGCGATCAGCTAGCGAGCGCGGCGCGCAGCATGCGGGCGTGCAGTGCCGCCGCCAGCAGCAGCGCCGCCAGGCAGCCCCAGCTGTCCGACAGGCCCGCCGAGCCCGTCTGCATCGCCGCCGGCCGCTCGCCTGCCACACACCGACACAATAAAATTCTCCATAATAGCTCTCACTCCAGTCCCACACTATTAAAGACCACCAACCGTTATGAGTTGGTGTTTTATATGAAACTTAAATAGCAAAAGATCGTGATAGCATGCAGTTATTTAAAGAGCTAGGCACCGTTGAGCACGTGGACCCTGACGGAGGCGACCTCGGCATTGGAGGGCGAGCAGGAGTAGCGGCCGGAGTCTGCAGGCGCGGCGTCCTGCACCAGCAGGTACGACGTCGTGGCCGCGCCCTTTTCCGTCACCACGGACACGCCTCCGCGCGATGAGTCGTACGATATCACCTGCTTCACGCCGGCCCCGGCACCCCACACGTTACGTCACATGTCACGATACAAACGTCCACATCGATATCGATACAATATTTCCTCTTTTATAATTGCCCCTTTATATCATACAAGCTTTAAATTCTGCAAATTTAAGATATAGGTTTATGTCGGTTCAACTTAATTTAATTGCAGTTGTTTTAATCAAACTTTACAAAAACCCTCCAAGTTCTTCTTTCTCCGACTTTTTTTTATGTTAAAACGATTAATCCTGCTGCTAATATTATTATTGTTGTATGCTAGTTTAAGATGGCTAGATAGAAAATGTGGTTGAGATTTATTTTTACGTTTTCTTCTGAGAGAGTAAAGACTCTTCTCCTCTACTCGATTGCCAATGTTTTTTTGCAGTCGTCTGTCAGCGATATCTTAGCATCAGGTTAACGGACAACTAAAACAAGCTTAAACTATACTTAAAGCTAATAATAATAATGAAGATTTGAATAATTACTTTGCGTCCGCTCACCTCGTCCTCGTGGTACCAGAATATGTACGCGGGCGGCTCGGGGCTGAACTGTATGAGGCAGGTGAGGTTGATAGTGGAGCCGATGTCGACGTGCAGATCCGGCCCGCCCAGGATGCGCGCCGACGGCACTGCAACAAGCCCGTCGCACCACGTCACCACCACGCTCTACTCATACTCACTGCCCACTGCCCGTCCACTGTCTGCCCACTGTATGTTCCCTGCACTCTCACTCACCCGACCCTGCCACACGAATTAAACCAAAGACAAATAATAATACATTATACCACAAATAGCAGATTTTTTTAGTAGCGAACAAACTTTAAATGTTACAGTTATGTATTTATGTTATGATTAATACGTGCCTAGCCTACGACCTACGACACATGGTTGTATGAAGCTTAAGCATTTTATCTTTATTATTTAACACAAAACTAGCTTTCACACACAGAAAACTCTTTTGTATTTAAAGACCTATTGTTAGTGAAGGCTTTAGTGGAAACTCGGACAATTTAAATAAAATTGTTAGTCTGCTCATCAAGAAATTCCACAAACTCAAACGAAAAAACACACCAATAGACACAGACCTGCGTCGGAAAACATCCTCTGATAAATCTCGTCACAATCTGCAGACGGATAATAACGGAAATAATTTAAAATATTCGATACGATATGTAGGTAGTGAGGTAAATATATTATTAATGACTGACTAACCAACGACGTGCAGCGTGACGAAGAAGGAGCGCACGGGCTGCGTGGAGACCTGGCACTCGTAGACGCCTGCGTCTCTCTGCTGCGCCCACTTCACCTGCAGCGTCCAGTCGTCCGTCTGCGGCGAGTGCGTCGCCTGGAAGCGCTGGTCCGACGTGTACGTGTAGCCGCCCACCGTCAGGATGTGCAGGTCGCGGTGCCGGATCCACGACACCTGCGACACAGCGACACGACCACACTTAACACATGTGCATGTAGTATACAATTGTCAACATCAATGCTTTATACACATGCAATCAGAGTTGTTAATGGTGATGATGAAAACACTTTAATTATTATAGAGTGATTACATTCCAAGGAGGTATGATGCGGGCGGGCGGAAGGTAGGGGGGAGATAAGTGTCGGCTGCGGCCGGCATTTGTCATGTCCGTTGTCCTGTGTCTGTTGTGCACTATGACGAATGGCCCAGCTGTATTGAGATTATGCAATGATGAATCGATTCCTTGTCCCGGCCGAGCGCTGTGCGATTGCCATATATCAACTCAATTTAGCAACCTTTGCATACACGACACTACCATTCCCTCGTACGACAATTTCATTACTTTGGAATTTTTCGAATTGTAGATTATAAAAAAAAAAAAATTCGTTGTCTTTATGAAATATACTAGTTTTGGTATGACCAACAATTGTATATTTGTGTTACGAACGTTTAAACAATTTTCACAGTTGACAAGTTGACAAGAAATAGATTTATCTTAAAGTAAAAGAGCAATCATTCGCCAAATGGATTATAGTTCTCACATAAAAAATATCGTATTAAGGTTGAGTACTACGATGGTTAGTTTAGTGCCGATCTAGAAACGACGGCAGCGCCCTCACCGGGTGTGCGGCGGTGCGGGGCGGTGCGGCGGTGCGGGGGGCGCGGGCGGCGCGGCCTGGCTGGCGACAGGGCAGCCGCACTTGAGCGTGAAATTGTATCAGTTTTATGCAACGATTATTATCGATTGACGACGCTCAGTTCATATGATGATAGTATTTGGGTCATTAACCGTCTTATCATACAAAAAATGTAAACAACCTTCAGACAAGTGTTATGGTTCATGGAGACATTATCAAAAATTGCTAGGACTCTGCCTAGAACAACTATAAACATACGAAAAGGATAGTAAACTTTTTACAGTTTGATACAGTACATAAGCGTTCTAGAAGTGGCCATTAGTCTTGATTACTTTATTTAAGTGAATGCCAACTGGATAGTTGTGGAACTGCAAAAAGCGCACAGTTATTGCTATTTTGTTCAGTAGGAAGTTGGTCGAGGACTCTGTAGTAGTGAGCTAGGGCAGCGACCACGACAGCGGCATGCTGTGCTGGCCGCGTGCCGTCTGTCGTTGTCGTGTAGAAGCCGCGGAGATGGCGCCGCATCGATCGCCGCCCGCCCGCGCAGCCGCCCTGCCGCTCTGCCGCCTTGCCGACTGTGCGGCGACACATTGCCTTTCAGGAAATACATTGCTGGCCAAACTCTCCAACTAATTACAAGTTTCTTAAGGAGACAATCAATGAAATTCTTTGGCACTTACACCATGATACAACTAGCAGATTTGTATTAAAATTTGACCATGACCATTTTCCTTTTTTTGTATTGTGAAAATGGTCTTCATTTCAAATACTGATTTATGTTAATTTGATAATACATCCTATACGTGTGTAGTTACTTCTTTCTCA